GAATGGATTTGCCTTTCGTTCTGATGAAAGCTACACAGAGGAAGTTCTTTGAGAGAGCACAGAATCATCTTAAAGTGATGAAAGCGACGAACTGAGCGAAAATGACGCTCAAGAAAATACACCCAGACCTGCACGAGGACGTGGTCGTGGAGGTGGTCGTGGACGGGCTCGACAACACAACAGCGCTGCTGGACGCGGTGCAAGAAGAAACCAACAACAGGAAGACGCATTGTTAGAACAGCAGTGGACTTCAAATGATTGGCAACCACGCATTCCCGCATTCCAATATGGCCACCGGTTGATAGACAATGTTATTGGCCATTGGGTGTGGCAGGGAAGGGGTTAACATCCGTATTGTACATGATTCAGTTTAGAGGGCCACGGGTTTGTTAGTATTTATACTATTTTAGTGCTACCCTCTTTAAAAAAAGTCTTTACTTACTAATTACATAGATGTCATAAAGAGCCAAATTAATCAGTTTTAAAGGTCACCGATATTAAAAGAAAATTGACAGCAAAATTCTAATATTGTACATAGAAATATTTGTAATTTACCACCTTACAAGCCTATGATGTTAGGTCATCATCTGAAATATTGCAATAAAATGAAGTGAATTGAGACACTATGACTTTTAAGAAACAGAACTGTAGACACTTAGTGCCCCTTTTGTATCTGGAACTATTCTTTTAGAAGAAAAATGCGCATAAAAAAACATCAAGCAAGGGATTACCCATGACCTGGTACAAAAGATCTCTCTGGATTATGCTGTTTTCAACATTTGAAATGAAAGTTGTTAAAATCCTAGAGACAATAAACAAACAAACACGAAACAACAAAGCACTAAAAACTAATCATTAAATATAATAAATACTCTTTTACAGAAGCCTTCTGGATGACGATCTAGATACTCCATGACCCTTGAACGAAACAATAATCCATCGAATTAGTCGAAGGTTTGGTGAGTCCTACATGTTGAGTAAACAGGAGTCGTTATCAACTATTAATATTTAGCTACAATTCTCTCTCACCTAACCGATGTGAGTCTAAACTGAAGCTCACCTAAATGAGAGGTAGAAATTTTCGTTGTTTTCGTTATTCAAGCGTTCTCAATTCATGCGAGTTTCTTTCGTTTTAGTAATTCAAAAAAATATTGAAAAGCCACAGTAGTTTTTGGAATTCCGGAAATAAGATTTTGCATTGTTACTTTGTCTTCATCATCATCGTGTGCAGCTGCCCATCAGTACTTTTCTTCCAATCACGACCGACTTACGTCACTTGAGTCTTACAGCCAATAACATCACGGCAAAACCAACCGATCATTTCACACGAACTGGAATAAGAACATTCTACTGACAACAATCATTCACTTGACTTTGATGATGACTTCCGCACAGGTTGTCGAAACATCAGTCACTGCCACCGACAACAGTCAAGTAAACCATTCCAGAGNATAATCATGTTAAAGGTTTTAACTGAGCCAGTCACACAAGGGAGTTTTTAACAGGTCAAAGAGAAAGCTAATCAGTTGAAATACAAATATAAGCTAGAAAGGTCAAGGTAGCGCAAGTCAACATTCATCTCCTCAATTTCAAGAATTTTCAAAAGCAAGTGAGTTAGCTCACGTTTAAAAGGTGCTTTCTTTAGCTTACGAATTTCAGGGGGGATGCCATTCCATATTTTCGCACCAACTCTAGAAAAGGAAAACAACTGATGATTTGTTCTCGCCTGTTTTATATAAAAGCTTCCAGCTACTGAGAAACGAGTAGAGTAGGAATGAACCTGTTCAGAGTGAGTAAAAAGTTCAGAAATATTGGGAGGAGCACAGCGATTTTTGATGTCATGTAACAGAGAGGCAACCA